GCCACGAAGAATTGAGGCAGTTCTGAAGGCAAAAGGGGGTCCAACCCGTTACTGGCGTGGTGTACCTAATAAAGTAGCCAGTGAGTGTATGTTTATTAAATAAAGTCTAATGTTACAACTAATCATGGATCCCGTTAAAACTTGTTGCGATTTTCAGATAGTGAACTTAGACATGGTTGCAGCTGAGCATCACAACACATATTCCAAGCACTAACTGTTTATGCAAGTTTGAGGTCACGTGTAAAACAATCTTCATTTAAAACTCACACAATGTGTGTTCCTTCTAATAATATAAGGCCTTTGTTTTTTATATATATTTTTTAAAGTAATAAAAACTAAAAACTGTAAGTCTCAGTCATCTTCTGTGCAGATTTCATTGTCGTTCAACTTATAAAACAGAACAGGAAACAACACCTGTGCAGCAGCAACTGCAGGTTGTAGGTGACATTCCTTCTCGGTATGAGCTCTCTTCAACACWTTTTCTTCCACATCGGTTCTGACTTCACATCACATTTAAAGTGGCTGAATACAACAATGATTGTTCATGATTACATATTTTTTTGAAAGACGAATTTCCGCTCTTTAAAAATAATCGTTTGAGATCAGCCTCTTGTCTTGGTCCTGAATCTTAACTGAGAGATAGTCATTCTGTGTTTAGGGTTATAAAAGAAAGTCAAAAATATAAAACAAATGAATTTTGTCTTTTGTTTACAGGGGTGGAAAAAAGAGAGGATCCTGGCAGAGTATCCTGATGGCAAGATCATTCTGGTTCTGCCAGATGATCCCAAATATGCTTTAAAGAAGGTATGTTRGTACCATGAAGAGTTGTGGAGCTAAATATCTGCATGTACGTACGATATCTGAGACCTCAGTCTGCTGTCGTGATGATGGTTTTTTGACTTTATTTCTCTCAGGTGGAAGAGATCAGGGAGATGGTGGACAATGACCTTGGCTTCCAACAGGTGGAGACAAAGTGTCCCTCTAAGACCAAAACGTTCCTCTTCATCTCTGTTGATAAGAAAGTGGCTGGATGCCTCATAGCGGAGCACATCCAGGAGGTGAGAGGCTGCAGGCTTCAATCAGCACAGATGTGTTTTTGTTGATTTAATTACAGAGCTTGGTGTTTTGCTCGCAGGGGTACAGGGTGATTGAGGAGCCTCTTCCTGAGGGCTCTGAGGGGGAGAAGGTGTTATTTGAACGTCAGAAAGCCTGGTGCTGCTCCACCACACCAGAGCCGGCGATCTGCGGCATCAGTCGCATCTGGGTGGCCAGTATGATGCGACGCCAAGGCATCGCCACACGTATGATCGAGTGCCTCAGGTCAGTCCATCTGCTAAGAATTTATGAGTTTGTTTAAAAGAAGCTGCATATAATTGATGTTTTTCTTCACACAGGAATAACTTCATATACGGTTCCTACCTGAGGAAGGACGAGATCGCGTTCTCAGACCCCACTCCTGATGGAAAACTTTTTGCCTCGCATTATTTTGGCACCTCCCAGTTTTTAGTTTACAACTTTGTAAGCGGACCACGCTCGCTCCAACCCAAAACTCAAGCAGTATGACATTCTGCAGGAGAAGAAACGATGCATTTGTCTGTCGTGCACACTCACTCTTCTGTGTGTTTAAAAAAAAAGTTAAATTTAACACATGGAGAGAAACTCCTCCTCTGAGAGGCCGGTCATTGGTTCAAATCTCAGGATTAAAAACAACAAATCGTTGTTGAGAAATGTCATCAATTTAAATATTCCCTGAAAAGTATTTTTAAAAGACTATTTTCTTTAAGCAAACAATTGGTTTTATTAAAATCAAAATGTTTACATGCATGACCTGACAGCAATAGAATTAAAGAGCATATTATTTTTTACTTTCAGCAAACTCTTTTACTTTTGTACCTGTAAGGGAGTGATGATGAGCGTCTTGTTTCTCTCCATGACTGATGCCGCCATAGTCTCAAGTTGTATTTTAATGTTTAAAAGGCGCAGAGATGTAGACGGAGAGTTGTGGGTGTTAAACTGCAGTCTGTAGTACGAGTCTTTGTCTTTAAATCTCACTACTTTGTTTGTGCCTAAATGAATAATGTTTGATTTTAGATGTTTTTATTTACATCTTTGCCATATTGTCTCACTAAGCAGCATTTAGCTTTTTATTCAGTTAGCCTAGAGAATCATCCTCTTATTCCTTAGTAACAAATTAAAATGTATATCAAGTAATCATGTAGATTTATGCATACTATAACAAGATTTATAACAGAAGATGAGGAAGGTCTTAGCTTCTTGTGTAAAAGGATATTTAAGCAGTAAATATCAGACAGGTTCAGTCTTTGATTGAATTATAATGACCAACACAAAAGTTTAGATCAACACTGATTAACAGCATTATTTTAATCATACTTTATTTTCTTCCTCATTGTTAAAGCGTTTAGAGTTGTTTTGTGTAAGAAAATGAAACTTGATTTATATGAAGCTGGTATGTAAATATTTATTTAAATAAACAACAGAAAAGATTTTTGCTCCAAGTGGGTATTAGTTGTATAAAATCTGCCATCTAGTGGCCGTTGTCATAATTTTTTTTTTTTTTGCAATAATATTCTAAAGATAAACAAACATCACAATTTGTGGTACACTTGAGTTAATTGAAATTGTGGGAATTTTCTTGCTTCTGTCATGCTTTTCTTTTTTTGTCTTTGTTGCAGCAGATGTAAACACCACCCCTGTTAGCACATTCCTCAACGCTCCTGTCACAACATGGGCCGGCTCGTTGGCAACTTCTAAGAAAAAAAACAATCTTAGAACAACACGAATGCTTCCTCAGACAGAGGGGGGAGAAAACAGAGGTCTCCGCTCTCTTCTCCTCAGAGATCTGATATGAATCAGGGAGAGGAAACAACAGGGTCAAGGTATATTTAACTCGAAAAGTCCACCCTAGTATTTCTGATTTTTACAGGGTCATCTCAGGCAAAAAATAAATAAATACAAATGTGTTTTGGCTGACGTGTCAAGAAAAACAGGCGATTGTAAACACACACTTTTATTACACATGAATTTAAAAAGATAAAAATGTTACAGCTGCCTGATTGAAACACATGAAACCGTTTGTTTCTGACAGTTAATGCCAGACTTTTCTGTACATGTTCGGCTACTCAAAACAATTAAATTTTAGACAAAGCTACAGTTTACAGCTCCAGGGCAAACCTGAGCTACATCTACAGGGAGACCAACTCTTAGTGCAGCTCAATTTGGCCTTGTGTTCTGACATCTGCAAAGACTTGATCTGTTTAGAGTTTTAAAACAAGATTACAGTAATACTCTGGCTTCTTGTACTGTTGACACGCAACCTGTAAGTGGAAAACAGCTGCTCTGGAAAAACAGATGAAACGTTTCTTACTTTTAGACAAAAACAAAGCAAATCTGTGTCACAAGCTCCTAACATATACAGTACCGCATAAAAGTCTTAAACCACTCTTAATTTCACTTTTAATTTGCTTCCAGAGAACCAGACTTTCTAGTAAATGCTCTTGATCAACACTTCAGACTTTCTTTCCAACACTTGTATCTGACAGCAACATCATATGTGACCCATCACGTCGAAACGAGGATTAAGTCTAAAGGTGGTACATGGAGAAATAGGCAAATATAGTGTTTTGATTAAAATGTTAACAAAAATGGCATTTTGTTAAAACATAATGAATAAATGCCTTATCAATATATCGTTTGAATGAACTGTCTGAAATATAATCATAAAACAAAATTTTGAAGCACTTTATTGAGCAGTAGCAACAAAAAAAACTGATTTTGAGGGAAAACGCCTTAAAATTTTGAGATTTTCCCTGTGAGTTAGCAAAGTTTTGTTTCTTTTCAGCTGGGAAATATCAGTATTCAAATATAATTTGAGGTTTCCTCTTTATAAGGACATCAAAAAAATCCTCATTAAAATGACATCAAATTAGGATTCAGACCAAATATTTAAGTATTATTGTAACCAACAAGACAAATTAAGTCATATGGATTTAATTATGATATCAGAATGATCCAGGTATCAAAAMGTAGCTTTTAAAGCCAATAATCTGAAAATGTAATTAGGTCATTTTGACCAAATTTGACTAAATCCTCATTTCGATATGATGGGTCACATATTATGCAGTGAAAGTAATTTTGGAATATTGTTACACGTGAATGATTCATAAATTAGAGTTGAGTGGCATAATGTAAACAAACATGGTAAAGTTGTCAGACACTGGGTGAAAAAAGTGTAAAAGAACTGAAAGATGTTCAGAAAGCCAAAAGAACTTTTGATCAAGACAACTACAAGAAATAAGACAGTCTGGCTCCTTTGAAGCTAAATGGAAAGAAATAATAACTGACTTCAAGGCTTTCACACAATACTGTAGCACATGTACTCAGTAATTTCCTGAAATGAGTTGACATATGGTAGGGTACTCTTCTAAGGCCATGACAACATAAAAATGTAGGCACCAAAGAAAATTTGTTTGACTGAAACCCAATGTGCACTTTTTTTCAAGTGAAACAAACTTGGAGGATGTTTTAGGATAGTTCGTAAAAACCGATCTCACAGTACGGGACAATGTGCGCCACAAAAATTATACAACAAATCTAAAACATCGGGTTCTTGAAGCCTTCTGTTAACTATTCCCTGACCTTTCCCAGGCTGCACCAGTACAACCTCGCCCTCAGGCGGGAGCTCTACCAAGGGGTGCACTTTGTTATCCTTCATCCTAAAGTCAGGGGCGCCAACACTCGGCAGAATGCCGTTTCTCTCTGCCCATGATTTGCTGTCCTCTGAAGCGTCCTTTGCCTCGGCTGCATTCTCTCCACTCATGCTGCTCCTGCTCGCTGTGCTCAGGTCGTCCTGACAGGTTTCTGATTCAGACGCATGTGGGAGAGAGAAGTAGGTACATTTTCTATGCAGTGGGTTTGTCTCTACCTCCAGTTCTGGCTTTGCGCTGAAAAGAGAATATGGAGTGTTTGCTTCTACGTCTTCGTGTAGTTCTGTATCTTGAGGACTGGTTGAAAAGGTTTTGTTTATTCCAACTGGATCAGACACCGACTTTCGCATTGATGTGTTTTCTCTGAGAAGCCATCGCCCACTATCAATAGGGACACTGTCTCCAGGCCCCACTTGTGCGTTGAAAGCGATGCATCTTGTCGCTTCACTGAAGGTGTCCAGTGCGTTGGTGGAATTGAAGTAAGACAATTCAGACATTGCTTTGGATCTGGCTGCGTGAAAGGGAGAGAAGATGCTCGAGGGCTGCTTTTTTCTCTGATCTGGCTCAGACGGGGSTCTCTCACTTGTTTCCTCTGGTTGAGCTTCTTTCTTGCCATACAGCATTTGGATAGTCCTCCTCACAAAGCCTTTAGTGATGGATTTCCTTGCTGAATCATCGTCTCCGCTGGACAGTTCACCCGACGTCTGAGACTGATAGCCACCGCTGTCGGAGCTCCCCACCCTTAACTCGGACAGCTCAGATGAGTTTGTGCTGGCGTAGCGTTTCTGCTGGATGTCTGTAGCGCTCTTGGCTAGAAACATGTCCCTGATGGATCTGACCCGGCTGCCTTCGGGCTCTGTGGTTACAACCCCACTGGAGTCGTAGCTGAAAGATAAAGATGACTGAGGGGCTGATCGGGTGCACAGTGGCAGCTCAGCTGTGGGTGATTCAGAAGCTGAATCTTCTGACTCAACAGGGACCTTTCTTTGTGAGAAACGTCTGATGGTGGAACATTTTGGCGTGTTGTTTGCTTTCTGAGCATCGGACACCCGCCTTTCCAGAAGAATCACTTTTTCTGCAACAGACTGGGTGAGAATTTCTTCAGATGGTTGTTTAGGATTTTCCACCCCCTGTGCACAGTTTGTTCCTTCTGGTTGTGTTGTCGGTGGAGATTCTTGTTGCCGTGTGTGGCTTTCTTCTGTGTTTTTGTTCACAGAGGCTTGTTCCTCCTCTGGGCTGAATGGTTTCAATTTATAGCTCAATTCTTCTTCAGCTGAGCTGCTGATGTGTTCATCTTCACTTTTTAGTCCATCAGCGTGTTCTTCACAGCTGCTGTGGTCATTCCCACTGTCATCATTTTTATTCAACCCTAAAACTTTTTCAAAATTTTCAAACATTATCAAACTGCTGTCATCATTGATGGTACATACATTTGGATTTTTTAACAAGTTGCTCAAACCTCTATCAAGAGTAGTCTGACTTTTTGGGATTTCGGCTTCACCCTCTGAGATGACTTCCTCTGTCTCTTCTCTTAAAACTGCCAACACTTTCCTTTGTTTTGTTTGTTCCCCAAAATTAGGAAAGTCATGAACGGGCCTCTCATCCTGCTCCTCCTCATTGCAAGACAAACTTTCCTCAGTAATGACCTGCAGTTTTTTACAGTCAACCACTYGCTGCTCTTCCTCTGAAGATGGATTTTCAGAGTCGGCGCTCTCTATACTGTCATCAGTACTAACATTCAAACCCATGCTGTACATTTGACTCTCAGAGGTCGTACATTTGATGTCTGAGTTGGATATGCCGTTCTTGTCTTTCAAATTCACTTCCACATAATAATTTGTGCTCACTTGCTTCTCTGCAGACTGATTTTTCAAATTAGACAAGTCCTCACTTTCACTTTCATCCTGCTTTATCTCTTTTGAAAACATCTGTGCTTCCTTGTTTGAATCTAGTTTATCTTGGGGTAACTCATTAACAGGGGTTTGAATCTTTAGCTGTCTACATTCCAAGTACTGCTCCTCTGTCTTGAAGATGCAACTTTCTTTTATAAGTGTTTTCTTACTGCTTACATCTCCATTTATTTTTGTCAGTTCTGATGGTAATTTATCTTCTATGTCACCCTGCTGCTGCTTTTGCTTTATCTGATTTTCTTGATGGGTCACATCCCTACATGACTGCAAGTCTGTGACTGTTTTACAGTGAAGCTGTCTTTCTTGAGTCATTTGTTTAAAACTGGTTTCATCTGATTGGTCTTCAGACACAGAATTCAAGCAGCCTTTGCTGGTCTTTTCTTGATTTTCCAAGCCAGTTGGTTTGGGCTTTACAGTCTCTGACATAATTTCAGATGGTTTTGGCTGGTTGATGTTAGTGAACTTTTTGATGATGGATCGCACATCGACAATGCTTGTACCATCTTCAGAAACTGTATCTTTTGTAGGGACGTAGTTTGAGTTGTCATGGTTGTTTTGATTTGCCGCCAGCTCCAGCGTTTCAACAGACTTCTCTTCATGGTCGCCCTCACCTTTTGCACCCTCTGACATTGATGCCAACTCCTCCTTGAGTTTCTCAGGAATGTCCAAGTTGTTTATGATCTCATTGATAACAGTTTCTTCAGTGATGCAGTCTCCTTCAGGACCAGGTTCAGCTGTCATTCCCACCTCTGAAACATTTGTTGATGAGCTGTGACTTTTGCATCGTTCACCGAGTTCCTGAAAGCCTTTCCAGCTTTGCAGGAGCTGCTTTGAGGTAGACTGTTGTAAATTGGACAAACTAGTTTTCAGTTTGTGGGAATCTTCAATGTTGGCAATTTCTTGGAGGGAATCGATCATTTTTAAAGCCTCTGCACAACTGACGTTGGCATTCAGCTCATCTGTATTTAGGTTAGTTAAGCCTTCTTTTAAAGTCATAACGGCCAGGAATGCAAGAAGAGCTTTTGATGAGGAGCCAAACGTTGAGGCTACATGAGAAGAGAAGTCAGGTAAGCTGTTGGATTTCTCCAGACATGATGGACGCTTTTTCTGGGTGATTTGCCTTATTGACTTTATTGAGCTGCATACCTTCTCGAYGACTGGTTTCATGTTTGGCTGGTTTACAGTGTTTAATGGCTGTGGCTTTACATGTATGTCTGACCCAGCCTTATTATCACCAAACTTCATTTCACTTGCTGATTTTCCTGACTGTGGTGTTTGATGACTTTGTCTTTGTGATGATGTTTTCTTTATGGTCTTATTCTGAGATTCTGACGAATTGTCTAAAGAGAGGCTTCCGGAGAGAAACTTTCCACTTGATTTGTGTCTGACAGGTGGTGACACCCCATCCAAAGACTGAGAGTATGCAGATGCTCTCTGGAGCTCTTTGGGTTTATGATGTTTTCTCTCAGTTGAAGGGCTAGCTTTTGGTGCTATGTGTCCTTTTGTTCCAATYTTTGGAAGAACGACTTTATCCAGAGTGTGGCTGGTGACTGGTAAGTTAGGAGAGGTATTCTGAAGTTCAACTAAAGGCTTCTTGTTTGAAAATCTGTCCTCTGGAGATGGGCTGTGCTTTACTTTAGCTTTTTTTGTCAAGTTTTTAGGTGATGGTGCCTCTTTTTGAGATGTTTTAGCCATTTTTGATTCTTTAACCTGGATATTGCTAGACTTTGAGGCCTCGCTGGATTGAATGCTGGCAGATGACATCCTCTGGTTAGATGTTAAACTAGCTGGGGAAGCAGATGAACAAAGTGATTCCGTGCCCAGATCTGAAACTGGATGCTGGGTCTCCCCCAGGGGGCCTTCCAGTGATTGTTTCATCCCATATGGTGGCACTTCATCTCCCACTGTGTTGAAGGGAGTGGACATTGTGGTCATCTTAGGAGTGGCATCATTACCTGAAGTGTATAAATCCAAAGAAGCCTTTCTGAAAGACATTTTCCTTTCAAGAGAGCTGTTACTGACCAAAGGAGCTCTTTTAATGGATGAAGTTCTGGATAATCCTGTCCCATGCCGCGTGGAGCGGTTTTCAGTCTGAGGAGGTGCCATTGTTTCTGTTGTATCATCAGTTGGTGATTTGGCCTTATCAGACGGACTCAAAGATAACGGATAACTTTCTGATAATTGACTGCTTGTTGATGAGAGCCTGTATAAAGAGCTGCTGGRAGCTGATGGAGCATCTTGTGTGAAATATTCAATGTTTAATAGCTCAGGTGGTGGTGGCGGCAGCTCCATAGAAAATATATCTGTAGTTGTTTCTGGATTTTCCTCTTCACTACCCAAGTTCATTTCTGCTAAGCTTTGAGTTGTTGGTCCAGTTATTTCAGAGCAGATCCCATTCGAGAGAGGTTTTGCTTGAGTGTTTTTCTGACCCAAGCTATCGTAGCTATCTGATTTAGTTGTGGTTGGATGGCTAAATACAGATTTATCTACTGATGGACTTGATTTGTTTTCAAAAGATTGTTCTCTGAGTTTGACAGATTGTCTTATTGATGTTTTTTGTGGAGTTTTAGTAGTTTCAAATTTTTCTTTCAAAAGCGTCACCTCTTTTCTTTCTTCACAGCTAACATTTTCAGCTCTTGCAACAGATGCCAGGTTCAAATCTGCTTTCTCAAGCCAATTCTCTACATACTCCTTAGTAGCAGAGCTGGAAGAGTTAAAAGGGGACAATGAAAGGCTTCTACTAATATCAGATGACTTGATTTCAGTCTTTTTCTCAGTATGCATTGATTTCTGTCGAGTCAGTATTCCTCGAGGTTGACTAAAGTTAGTGCTTGTTTTAAAAGAAATGTGTTTGCTTCTCTTCTCTTTTAAACTTAATGATCTGTTTGAATCTTTAAAGGAAGTTTTAATTGTAGCATCTGGTTTTGGTACACTCTCCTTCATCACCCCATTTAGTGTTGGTTTGTTTTTCATTTTTTTCAACTTTTTCCCTGAACTGGTTTTATTCCCATAAATTCTCTTGATGAACATTGCGCTGGAGAAAGGTTTAACTTTTTTATATTTCACAGCTCTTCTTTTATAACTCTTCTTTTGTCTTTTTCCTGGTGTCACAACCAGCTGGACGTGTTTGCTGATTAATTTAGATTTTGAGGCGGCACTCATGGCTTCTGTGCGTTTGAGCTTGATGTGGCCTTTTGCAGGATTCTTAGATGGTCGTCCTTGAATTGCATCAGTTTTTAGAAGGGATGAGTGCCAGTCTGATTTTAAAGACATGCTATCACCCAGCCTGATACTAACAGACTCAGAGGCAGTTGAAGGCCCCCAGAACTCTGGTTCAAATGTATTATTCGAGGAAAGCTGCCCAGTTTTTGAAGTAGTTGGCCCTAAAGTCCTGTCAGATACAGACATGTCTTGTGTGCAAACATTTGAAAGGAAATTATCCTGACAAGCCTGCTGTTCGTATATGTGCAAAACTGTTTCAGTGATCTCCTCTTTGCTGAATTCATTCTGCATGGTTTCAGTCATTTCACTTGACTTAAAAGCAGAGCTGTCTCTACTTTTGATATCAACAGAACCCAGTCGTCTTGGTTTGGGTACTGGTCTTGTGCTGCTCTGATTAACCATGCAGAACTGCTCTGTCGTTGTCTTGTTTTCTGTCTGTTCTCTGCAGAAATAAGAGCTCACCTCTCCTTCTTCGACCCCATTCACTGTAGCAGATTTAATGGTCTCCACAGAAGCTTGTTTTTTGCTCATTTTCGTCCATCCTGGGGTAGGGACTCTCCTGGGCGACACCATATCTGTGTGGTTTTTGGTATTCTCTTCATGACACCTTTCACCAAAAGCTTCATTGCTCAACGATGGTAGATCACCGTCATTATCATCTTTAGTTCTGTCCTTGTTGACGTTCTCAGTGGAAGCAGCAGAACTTGGTGAATTATGGGAATTTGCTTCATTTGAATAAATCTCTTGCTCTTCCTCAAACTCCGGTAAACAGGCCACACTGGGCTGGTCAGCTGCAGCGGAGCGTGTGAGTGTGGTAGTCCACTTAACAGTTTCTTCTTCCTTAATCGTCAGCCGCACCTTCATCTCCACTGTCATGCTACCGTCCTGATTCACCCTGAAGGACTTCTCAATGTTGTCATCATTGGCTAGAGAGCAGTCCTGCTCTCCAGCTCGATTGCCAGGACAGGGGCCACCTTCAGTTCCCGCTACAGACTCCATTGTACAATTTGAGTCCAAATCCACAGAGTTAGCGAGGTTACTGGGCAGGTCGCATGAACTCTCCGCAAGGCTGTTATGAATTTGATGAACAATGTACCGCTCAGAAGATGCGGAGAAATTTCTTGACTTTAAAGAATATGATGGTGACTTCTTTTTAGCTTTGAAGTCAGCCAAAAGACCAAAAAATGTTCAGCAAAATCAAGACGAAAGGTCCAGAGATTTCAGGAAGATTGAAGAGAATCCAAGTGAAGCATGAAAGGAGAAGGGAAAAAAGGAACAAAGTTAGAATGAGTGAATAGTTCTCAGGAACACTAACCAGAAGCCCCGTGGAGCTTGCATGTAGGTCATCTACTGTATTACGTATGATATTATCAACTCAGCACTTTCCCAAGCTTTATCCTTTGAGAGCAGGTCGATTGTTGCAGACACATCATGTCATAGACATAAGAGCCCATCAGACTGACAGTTCTTGAGAGTTCAAGAGAACTGACAGTTCAGTTCTCCCATTAACTACATAAAAGATCTAGGTGCCTATTAAATTTTTGTTAAGCATACCGTTTAAAGCCTTTTGTCGTCTGATGCCCCTTCGGTTGGTATGCCACCTCATTGAAGCTGGAGATTTCTGCACCGTGTATGTTGCAGGCCTGAAAGGCTCCCTGCCTACAGCCACCACTGTCCCAGAGCACAAAATCAAACCTGGAAGACCATCAACCTGAAGCAAACAGAAAATAAACAAAGCAGTACATTTTAAAAAGTGCCACAATGGTATCTTGCAAAGCAACCATGACTTTATAGTCAATCGTATGCCTGAAGCTTCACAGTGTAGTATTTCAGGATAAAGCAGCTTATAACTTTCTGTCCTTGTGTGACCACGATTTCATGCCAGGTTTAAGTTCATGCAAAGTCCTTTAGGGTCAGTATTGTTTTGTTAGCATGAAAGGTCTTTCTTAATAATTAAGAATGTTTCCACTGTATATTTTCTTTTCACATGCATCATTTTCTGAGTTGTACCAACACTTACACGTCTGCCATCCGGTGTATGTAGTTTATTCACATGAAACTGCATCAGTTCTGAGATATAGTTCAGGATCGACTCATAACTAGGTCTAGTCTTCTTGTGAAGCACAACTGTGTGCTTTACAGAAGGGTCTCCATTGCGAAAAACTACAAGTCTTTTTGGCGTGTGTATGACAATCGGCTCCTGCCTGTGGATGWTTTTCCTGGCTGGAAAAAACTGCCRGGTCCTGCGACGAGAGCTGACAGGTCTGGCGTGGTACCAAGGTGGCAGCTTTCTTTGAGCCAGGGCCAGATCGAAGGGTTTGACACTACGGCTGTCCGAGCAGATGTAAGATTTCCCATCTTCAAGTTCATCCAACGTACTGATGCCATGAACCCCTCGCGGAGTTGTGATGTTCCGCACCCCAAACGGCAAGGGGACCTTTTTAGAGAGACTGTCCAAGAGCGCTTCGAAGGTTTTGAAAGTACGGTTGTTGATGACTATTCGCAGGCCGTTGAACTGAGGGTCTCCACTTTTGTAGAAGCAAACCCGTTTTGACAGAATGGGGTTGATGACACTTGGGTGACGAATGGTGTCCAACGTGAGCCCACTCCCCGATGACCTGTCAGGGAGGGGTCTCCTGAGCCCTATTTCATTCATCGTCGTTGACTGTCTGCAAATGGAGAAAAAAAGAGAAAACAATTAGACATTTAGCTTAAAATAACAACGACGATTTATTCTTTTGTCTCATTTGCTGCTGCTGCTTCTAACACCAGTGTAAACTTTTGAAATGTCCTCTGCTTCCCCCACTTCCTGAGCCACTGCAATAAACCCAGCCGTGAAAATGGTCATCTTAAGTAGCTTATTACCTTGTGCAAACAAAAACAACTACCTTTTTACTGCCTATTTAGTTTGTGCCTCTGAGTCTGTTTGTCCATTGTGGTATTAAATATCTCATGAACTTTTTATCTATATATAAATTAATTTACAAAGTTTGGCCAAAATGACTTTAACTTTGTCTCGTCTCATTGTAAGATGATTATAGTTTAACACTCTGATATAAAAGGCATCAGCTGATTCAGGTTCCTTCAAGGATTGCTAAGCCTTTAATTGCTGTTTGTTTGGACAATGCAATCTACAGTTGCTGTGTTCAAACAAGCAGAACTGGTAAAATCTCTTTTGTTGTTGTTGCTATTCATATTAAATTATTCATGCTTTTTGCCGTCCTGATGTATTTTTAGTTAAAATTATGTGAGATATGTAAAAAAAAAAAATCAGTTTAGACAATGCTGTAACAGTTTATGAAAAACAGTATTAATTTGTGCTAAAAAGAATGGTATTTTAGAGGTTAGCACTTAAACAATATGTCACTGTTTAAAGGCAGCTTAGATAAAGCTTGTATAAGCAAGTGAATGACGTCGTGTAAACATGTTGTTGACTCTCTTGGACTGTGGCAGGTAAGATGACCTACAGTCTGACCTGGTCTGGGAAAAGGCATTTTTATTTAGATATTAACTCAAAAAGTGCTTTTATGGTTAAATGTTTTATTTCAATGACATATTTCATAATTATTATTTTTTAATTAATTCTGTAAGTTGATACATTTTAGGTAAAGTTTTTTTTTAGGTTTAATTTTTTCATTTAGCTTTAGTTACATTTTTCAAGTCTAAATATTTGTAGAGAAACTAGAACATAATTGACAACCAAAATCTAACATTATATAAAAATGTAAATAATTTTGAAAACAAATATAAAATTGCAGTATTTGAAAAATAAACTCACCTTCACTAGCATTGTGGAAAAAAAAATCCCCAAAGTTTTAAAAAGATCCATGACACTTTATTTCGTGCTCTACAGCACGACCGCTGTTGAGCTAACTGCACTGTTAGAGTTTATTTTAGGAGACGCCATCATTGGTAATTTGCTTAATCTTTGCTCAGAGTTAATCTCAACTGCAGGTGCAAAGCTTGAAAATCCTCTTTAGAAAGGTGTGTCACACAGATGAATATAGAGCTATCATAACAGACAGAAGAAGAGATCCCAAACCCCCAGAAAATACTCACTGGGTTAAATTTGGCTTGTAGCACATGCATGTAGACACATTTATGTGGAAATGTGTTGCCAAGGGCAAAGAAAAATCATGCATAAAATGTCAAATGCTTTAAACCAATATTTTTTAACTAACTTGCCTTAAAGTAAAAACAGGAACGTTTAGAAACAAAATGTGAAAAAGGTTTTCTGAAGAGCAGATGGTTGAAAATTTTCGAACAGGTTCGTAATCTTATTAAAGGCCTCTTTAGGTAATTAGGATTAAGGTGTTCTTGATTCTCGGGACCCTCATAGAAGAGCACTTGTTTTCAAGAAAGAATGAAGTCATTTGCTTGTCTTAAAGGGATAGTTCCCTTTTTTAACTGGTAGTTAAAATCAGTTATCTCTTTATTTTCAGTTTGGAGAAATAGAGTTTAATTTTGGCAGCACGACAGGCTGGTGGTCAGCCTGTTGCCTCACAGCGAGGCTCAGGCCTCGGGATGGGTCTGGGGTTTTTTTGTGTGGAGTTTGCAAACTCTCATGTTTCTATGGGTTTTCTTCAGGTACTCCTCTTCCGACAGTCCAAAAACATGCATGTTAGGTGTCCTTCAAGTCCGGGCCTTTGAAAAAGCGATCTGTGCTCTCAGTAGGATTTGACCAGTTAAATAAGCTAACTGCTCAAAACCAAAGTAAATTGTTGCCGTCATAAAACTCCTACACAAAAATGTTGCAATCGTTTATAAACCTTCACGTTATACGATATAATTTTTGAAATAGATAGACGTTCCAGCAGGAATATTATATTCCTGATGGAAGTGTCCTAAGCTACACTGGKWGTGCTACAGCTAGCTGCTGCCACTATTTGGGCTCTTGAACAACTGTAATGTTATGTAAATAACCATGTATTATGAAGGACAAAAGTTTCTAAAATAACATTCACATGTACCACTATAAAATGTTAGTGATTAGAGTTGTTTGAAGGCCTCGTCCAGTTTGTTTCTTGGTCCATTCAGACTAGCTGATAGCTCCTCAATCTGGTTAGAATGAAACTCTTTAAAGAGCTATCTACAAAATTACTCATAACTTTTGCACAAATCACACTTAAATAATATGAATYAGTACTATTAAAAAACATGAAATACAATTTTCAAAATGTCATTTAGTTTTAGATTGTTTCTCACACACTGTGRGACATGAGGACACACTGACATGACTGTAAAGAAAGTTATAAATAAGATGAATGCGCCTATAATAGCAAATGCAGACTGTTATAGCCCACACAAAAATACACACACAAACAACACTGTTCTTGTTCTAGAAGCACAATTAAGTTTAGAGCAGTGGTGGAGACTTAGATGAACCGCATTACTGCAGGGTATTAACTGGTCACGAGTATCCTTTACCGTGAACTATCCACAGTTGCATAACAGTTACCAAAACTAAAGTGAGTTTATTTCTGTCCTGAAAGAGATTAGTGTACAAGAGATGACTCCATTCCACAGTAAACCTGGGGCTGAACTGAAGGAGTCAAAGGCATTTACAAAAAGTTATCAAATATCCGCTCAGCATAAAAGGATAAAGTGATTCCACTCTGTCGTAGTGTTTAGTTTACTGCTGTAAAAATATCCCAGGTGTATACGAAAGAGATATGMGCTGTAGGAAAGAATTCCTTGCTGAGCCCGAAAAGACAGACATCCAGGAATGCCACAGGAGACTCCCACGAGCCGAGTCCACTTTCTGCTCCCAAAACAACAACAAGAAGCACAAAAATGTGAAAAATCCTGCAAAGGAAGCCGAGGGGGGAACAATGGAGGAAGCGTTGAGCGTAAACAGGTAGGCCTGAAGCCTGCATGCCCCTCATTCCAGCCCACCGCTGCAGAGATAAGAAGTGTTGGAAGCGGGAGGGTCAAAAACAGCTGGACGCGCTGATAGAGCGGCACAAATACTGCCAAACGCACCTGAATCTGACTGAAAATAGGATTGACCTGAACCTCTGCACGAAACGTGACAAGTCCTATTTGTTTCATAACCTTCCACGTCACGTTCACAACAAACCAGCTGGTGATATGAATACTTTTCTCTCTCTCTTCTCTAATTCTTGATTACAAGTCAAATCACATTCCGCCACAGCAGAGAGATCTGTCTCGGCGTTCCGGTTCTCTCGCCACTTCAGCCGCGCTCTATTTTTAAGCTCTTGGACCTATACTGCAACTAATTGGCGCCATGATAGATTCAAACCTATGCTGTTAATGGGAAAAAATGTGTGATATGTTTTGGCCCTTGTTCCCTCTCTATATTTGGCCCAGTGTCCTCTACGCAGCTGCTCCTCCAGATCTGTCTCCCTGTTTTTCCCAGCAAGGCAGCTCTCTCTTCAGCCCGCGTGTGTTGTCTCMGTTCAAGAGGCAGAGTCTTCAGTAGCTCCTGCTTAAAGTGGCAAAAAGGCATTTGTAGGCACATTAGAAATAACTGCAGTTTGCTTTTGTGTAACCAGCCTTCTAGCCTTTGTTGTCTTGTGTAAACTAGAATAGCTGACTCAGTTTTAACCCTTAAAAAAMGTTAAAATTCCTTCCACTGCAGCTGTTGTGAATTAAATTAGATGCGATACTGTGACCAAAACATTTTATTGAAACTCTCTTTCATTAAAAGGTGGGCAGTGGATATTCTGAATATAATCTCGCTTCGGCTTCAAGCTACAAATCACGATTGTTCACTTTTTTCTTTTTAAATACGCTCAAAAATGTTGATGAYTTCCACTTTTCCTTTGGGGTTGAGTTTTGCTGGAACCAAAACAACGTAGCCCAAGCTGAGACAAAAGTATGCTTACTATTCAAAATTCCATCCAAGTTAGATGATGGTCAATCTTTTTTTCCCCCCATGTTAACATCCAGTGGAATTCCTAGGTTTTGAATGAAACCTTGCCAAACAGGACTCCTAAGGTCACACGACCGACCGTCCCCTCCCCTCCAAAACTCCTCACACAGCAGCGAGAGGTCCCCACCCCGTCCATTTTGAGCTCTCTGTCTCAGCTGTGCCAAGCTTTTAATCTGCCTGGTGACATCCCAGTGTTTCCTGCATAGGACGGAGAGGGAGATAAGCACACTCCTCTGTGCAGTAAATCACTCCACACTCCCACTCCTGCACTGATATCACCATTATTCAATTAGGCTGCACTCAAATTCACCACAATTTCTGTTCATTATGATCATATTTGGACCTTATTTGCCTTTGTGTGTGTGTGTGTGTGTGTGTGTGTGTGTGTGTGTGTGTGTGTGTGTGTGTGTGTGTGTGTGT